CACTGAATGCTAAAGAGCTTCAACATAATGAAGAATCTACAACAACTAACAGGCAAAACAGCCACTTAGCATCAAAATGGCAGTATCAAATTCACACATAACAATATTAACCCTAAATGTAAATGGACTAAATGCACCAATCAAAAGACACAGACTGGCAAATTGGATAAAAAGCCAAAACCCATCAGTGTGCTGTATCCAGGAAACCCATCTCACATGCAAGGATACACAAAGGCTCAAAATAAAGGGATGGAGGAAGATTTACCAAGCTAATGGAAAGCAAAAAAAAGCAGGAGTTGCAATTCTCATCTCTGATAAAATAGACTTTAAAGCAACAAAGATCAAAAGAGACAAAGAAGGCCATTACATAATGGTAAAAGGATCGATACAACAAGAAGAGCTAACGATCCTAAACATATATGGACCCAACACAGGAGCACCCAGATACATAAAGCAAGTTCTTAATGACTTACAGAAGGACTTAGACTCCCACACAATAATAGTGGGAGACTTTAACACTCCACTGTCAATACTAGACAGATCAACCAGACAGAAAATCAACAAGGATACCCAGGGCTTGAACTCAGACCTGGAGCAAGCAAACCTGGTGGACATTTACAGAACTCTCCACCCCAAATCCACAGAATACACATTCTTCTCAGCACCACATCACACCTACTCTAAAATTGACCACATAATTGGAAGTAAAGCACTGCTCAACAAATGCAAAACAACTGAAATCATAACAAACAGCCTCTCAGACCATAGTGCAATCAAGTTAGAACTCAGAATTCAGAAACCGACCCAGAACCGCACAGCTTCATGGAAACTGAACGACTGGCTCTTGAATGTTGACTGGGTAAACAACGAAATGAAGGCAGAAATAAAGAAGTTCTTCGAAACCAATGAGAATGAAGACACAACGTGCCAGAACCTCTGGGACACATTTAAAGCAGTCTCTAGAGGAAAGTATATAGCAATAAGTGCCCATATGAGGAGAATGGAGAGATCCAAAATTGACACTCTATCGTCAAAATTGAAAGAGCTAGAGGAGCAAGATCAAAAAAACTCAAAACCCAGCAGAAGACAAGAAATTACTAAGATCAGAGCTGAGCTGAAGGAGATTGAGACACGAAAAACCCTTCAAAAAATCAATAAATCCAAGAGCTGGTTTTTTGAAAAGATCAACAAAATAGACAGACCACTAGCCAGATTGATTAAAAATAAAAGAGAGAACAACCAAATAGATGCAATAAAAAATGATAAAGGGGAAATCACCACAGATTCCACAGAAATTCAAACCATCATCAGAGAATATTACAAACAACTCTATGCACATAAACTAGTAAACCTGGAAGAAATGGATAAATTCCTGGACTCCTGTGTCCTCCCAAGCCTAAACCAGGAGGAAGCTGAAACTATGAATAGACCAATAACAAGGTCTGAAGTTGAGGCACCAATTAAGAGCCTACCTCACAAAAAAAGCCCAGGTCCAGATGGGTTCACAGCCGAATTCTACCAGACACACAAGGAGGAGCTGGTACCATTCCTTCTAAAACTATTTCAAACAATCCAAAAAGAGGGAATCCTTCCCAAATCATTTTATGAGACCAACATCATCCTGATACCAAAACCCGGCAGAGACCCAACGAGAAAAGAAAACTTCAGGCCAATATCCATGATGAACATAGATGCAAAAATCTTCAATAAAATATTGGCAAGCCGATTGCAACAGCAAATCAAAAAACTTATTCATCATGATCAAGTAGGATTCATCCCAGGGATGCAAGGCTGGTTCAACATACGCAAGTCTATCAACGTAATTCACCACATAAACAGAACCAAAAACAAAAACCACATGATTATCTCAATTGACGCAGAGAAGGCATTTGACAAAATTCAACAGTCCTTTATGCTAAAAACCCTCAATAAACTCGGTATCGATGGAACGTATCTCAAAGTAATAAAAGCTATTTATGACAAACCAACAGCCAATATCATACTGAATGGGCAAAAACTGGAAGCATTCCCTTTGAAATCTGGTACTAGACAAGGATGCCCTCTCTCACCACTCCTATTCAATATAGTACTGGAAGTTCTAGCCAGAGCAATCAGGCAAGAAAAAGAAATAAAGGGTATTCAAATAGGAAAGGTGGAAGCCAAATTGTCTCTATTTGCAGACGACATCATAGTATACCTAGAAGACCCCATCGCCTCAGCCCAAAAACTCCTGAAACTGATAAACAACTTCAGCAAAGTCTCAGGATATAAAATCAATGTGCAAAAATCACAAGCATTCGTCTACACCAATAACAGACTTAAAGAAAGCCAAATCAAGAGCGAACTGCCATTCGCAATTGCTACAAAAAGAATAAAATACCTTGGAATACAACTCACAAGGAACGTAAGGGACCTCTTCAAGGAGAACTACAAACCACTGCTCAACGAAATCAGAGAGGACACAAACAGATGGAGAAACATTCCATGTTCATGGTTAGGAAGAATTAATATCGTGAAAATGGCTATACTGCCCAAAGTAATTTACAGAATCAACGCTATCCCCATCAAGCTACCATTGACTTTCTTCACAGAACTGGAAAAAACCACCATGAACTTCATATGGAACCAAAAGAGAGCCCACATAGCCAAGTCAATTCTAAGCAAAAAGAACACAGCGGGGGGCATCACACTACCGGATTTCAAACTATACTACAAGGCTACAGTAATCAAAACAGCATGGTACTGGTACCAAAACAGAGATATAGACCAATGGAACAAAACAGAGGCACCGGAGGCAACACAACATACATACAACTATACAATCTTTGATAAACCTGACAAAAACAAACAATGGGGCAAGGATTCCATGTTTAACAAATGGTGTTGGGAAAACTGGCTAGCCATGTGCAGAAAGCAGAAACTGGACCCCTTCCTGACACCTTACACTAAAATTAACTCCAGATGGATTAAAGACTTAAACATAAGACCTGGCACCATAAAAACCCTAGAAGGAAATCTAGGCAAAACTATCCAGGACATAGGAGTAGGCAAGGACTTCATGAACAAAACACCAAGAGCATTGGCAACAAAAGCCAAAATAGACAAATGGGACCTAATGAAACTCCACAGCTTCTGCACGGCAAAAGAAACAGTCACTAGAGTGGATCGGCAACCAACAGAATGGGAAAAAATTTTCGCAGTCTACCCATCTGACAAAGGGCTGATATCCAGAATTTACAAACAACTCAAGCAGATTTACAGGAAAAAAACAAACAAGCTCATTCAAAAGTGGGCAAAGGATATGAACAGATACTTTACGAAAGAAGACATATATGAGGCCAACAATCATATGAAAAAATGCTCATCGTCACTGGTCATCAGAGAGATGCAAATCAAAACCACATTGAGATACCATCTCATGCCAGTTAGAATGGCGATCATTAAAAAATATGGAGACAACAGATGCTGGAGAGGATGTGGAGAAAAAGGAACACTTTTACACTGTTGGTGGAAGTGTAAATTAGTTCAACCATTGTGGAAGACAGTGTGGCGATTCCTCAAGGCCTTAGAAATAGAAATTCCATTTGACCCAGCAATCCCATTACTGGGTATATATCCAAAAGACTATAAATCGTTCTACTATAAGGACACATGTACACGAATGTTCATTGCAGCACTGTTTACAATAGCAAAGACCTGGAATCAACCCAAATGCCCATTGATAATAGACTGGATTGGAAAAATGTGGCACATATACACCATGCAATATTATGCAGCAATCAGAAATGATGAGTTCGTGTCGTTTGTAGGGACATGGATGAATCTGGAAAACATCATCCTCAGCAAACTGACACAAGAACAGAAAATGAAACACCGCATATTCTCACTCATAGGTGGGTGATGAAAAATGAGAACACATGGACACAGGGAGGGGAGTACTAAACACTGGGGTCTATTGGGGGGAAAAGGGGAGGGTCAGTGGGAGGGGGAGGTGGGGAGGGATAGCCTGGGGAGAAATGCCAAATGTGGGTGAAGGGGAGAAGAAAAGCAAAGCACACTGCCATGTGTGTACCTACGCAACTGTCTTGCATGCTCTGCTCATGTACCCCAAAACCTATAATCCAATAAAAAATTAAAAAAAAAAATAAAAATAAAAATAAAAATAAAGTGCCATATTACCTATAGTGATTTTTAGATTTAATAAACTCTATAAAAATTTCAATATTTTCTACAGTAATAGAAAATGTAATTCTAAAATTCACTTAGAACTACAATAAATGTTAAATAGCCAAAGAAATCTTGAAAAACAACAAAGCAGAACATCATAATTTATAATTTCAAACTATACTTCAAGGCTATAAAAGAAAAAGCCAGAAAAATTAGCAATACAAAAATAATAATCTGGGCTCAGTAGCTCATGCCTGTAATCCCAGCAATTTGGGAGATGGAGGTGGGGGGTGAATCACCTGACACTGAGAATGAGACTAACCTGGCCAACATGAAGAAACCCTGTCTCTACTAAAAATACAAAAGTTAGCCTGGCATGGTGGTGGGCAACTGTAATCCCAGCTATCCGGGAGCCTGAGGCAGCAGAATCGCTTGAACCCAGAAGGTGGAGGTTGGGGTGAGCTGAGATCGTACCATTCCACTCCGGCCTGGGTGACAAGAGCAAAACTCCATCTCAAAAAAGTAATAATAAAAATAATAGAAGAGAAACCACTACTCTCACACATTTTAGACATGTAAAAAGAGAGTTTAAAAGAACAGTTTAACATATAAAATTTCTCCAAATTACACACCTATCTGATTTTCAAAAACAATGAAAGAGCGATCAGATTTTGCAGTCTCTTATGTGCCATGAAGAGGACTTTGGTTGTCACTTTAAAAGTAAAGAAAGATCACTGAAGGAAAAGTAAAATCTTTAGAGATTTTAAATGATACGATAAGACAGAAGATGTTTCCATGGGCCATCTGTTGTACTCACTTTCACTTTCACCTACCTGGGAGTTTGGCTTCAAACTCATGTCTCTTCACATTCCAAGGTTCTTGTCCTTGCTCCAGACAGGTGATCAGGTCTGGCTTAGAGGTAGCAATACCTGTTTTATTAAAAATTACATGAATCTTGCACATATTCTCCAATTACCAACTTAATAGTGTGCTCAGTAAAAAGCATGTAATAAAATATTTTAGTAAAATAATTCTAAACTACTAATTTACAACAAAATATTTTAAAACATATTTTAATTTTGTAAGTTTGTAATTTCACTACCTGGTACTACTAAATCAAAACGTAGTGGCTATCAGATTTTAAGATGTAATAAACAGAATGTTACGCCACTAAATTTCAAAATTTGACACTAATTTAGAGTGAAGAACACAGATCAGTTCAGAAATGTGGAAAGTTCAGGTCAAAATTAAACATCTTAAAATTCTTTTTTATTAGACAAATGTTGCAGTTTTTTTTTTAAGCAGATCTGAAAGCAAAAATTACCAAAAATTATTCTACAAAGAAAGAGTAAGAAAGAAAAAAAGAGAGAGAAATTAAACTTATAGGATATATTATTAAATTGTGTACTGAAGTTATGCTTACCCAGGTAGACCAGGTTTCCATAATTCTCTAACATCACATTTCTATATAAATTCCGCTGTGCAGTGTCCAGGCATTGCCACTCCTTCTGAGAGAATTCTATGGCCACATCCCTAAATGTCAACACTCCCTGAAAAATACACGAACACATACATATTAAACAAATGGAAAATGAGCAGAATTTTTAATCTGACTCAAGGTAAAATGAAAATAAAGATACCTGCTTCTTACTTACAAGAGTGACTGACAATATCTAATAAATAACTCTCAACAAAGAAATATTCTCCAACTTACTCTCTTACTGTGAGAAAAGAGAATAGCATAAGGTCTACAACATCAACTTATAGATGGTACTTTTCTTGTTAATGAGGTAGAAAACTGAGGGCATAAACACAAACACGTACATTTCTGAGTACTATATTTATATCACACAGAATGAAATGTGTAAATTTTTCAGATGGAAAAGATATACTGAGTTAGAAAGTACTGCTGAAATTTTAATGTGTACAATAAACTGGAGATACTAATGCAGATTATTTTTTCAGAGAATCTGGAAAACAATCTGAGTTTCTGAATCTCTAACAAGCTCACCACTAATGCCAATGTTTTTGGCCAAAAAAACTATTTTGTCAAACATACAGTAAGTGAACGAGCCTGTGTTTTTTAGTTTTTCTAGCCTGTAAACAAAGATGAGAGCTTTCATTTTCCAAAGACAGATAAATGTAAAGAAAACATAAGAAAGGGCAGCTACCAGATTAAAAGTGATTGTTTATCCACATCAGCTGCAAAAAGATATGTAATAATGAAGAGAAAAATAATTAACTCTATAGAGAAAAAAATTCTGTCACAAAGCTTATTAACTAAGTGGGTTATTAACATTAACTGAATGAAGACACAGTTCTATGATGTGCTGAGGTACACAGAAGGATACAGTATCACTTCCCCCTCAAAAGTAACTTATAGTGTGAATTTCATCATAAGAAACAATGGATTCACCAGGCATGGTGGCTCATGCCTATAAGCCAAACACTTTTGGAGGCTGAGGCAAGAAAATCACATCAAAACATCAAGACCATCTTAGCCAACATGGTAAAACCCCATCTCCACTAAAAATAAACAAATCACAAGCATTCCTATAACCCAACAATTAACAGAGAGCCAAATCATACATGAAAGTCAAAACTGCTACAAAAAGAATAAAATACCTAGAAATACAGCTAACCAGGAATGGGAAGGATCTCTTCAAGGAGATCTACAAACCACTGCTCAACTAAGAGAGGACGCAATCAAATGGAAAAACATTCCATTTTTATGGACAGAAAGACATCAGGCCAGGTGTGGAGGCTCACGCCTGTAATGCCAGCACTTTCGGAGGCTGAGGTGAGTGGATCACCTAAGGTCAGGAGTTTGAGACCAGCCTGACCAACATGGAGAAACCCCATCTCCAGTAAAACTGTAAAAACTAGCCAGATGTGGTAGCCTGTAATCTCAGCTGCTTGGGAGGCTGAGGCAGCAGAATCACTTGAACCCAAGAGGTAGAGTTAGCTGTGAGCTGAGATTACACCATTGCACTACAGTCTGGGCAACTAGAGTGAAACTCCATCTAAAAAATAAAATCATTATTAAAATTGCCATTATTTTCTAGTTCTCCTTCTTCTTTAGGATTTCTTCTTCTCAGATAAGATTCTCTGGACAAATTACAGATGCATCTTGAGAATATGCTTTGAATGGTGTCAGCACCATGTTTACCTGCTGCCACCACACCCATAGGCAGAAGAACAAAGATGAAATAACTCCAGCCATTTTTATACTTTGTAACAAGAGATTCAGGAAAAATAAGCTGCTGCACAGGTAAAAAATATGTTTCTCCTTTCGTGTTCTCGGTTGCCTTCTTCTGCCAATTTCTTCTACACTAAAGAAAACATGAGCCACAGTGCCTTGTCCCTATGAAACCCAAAGAAAACAGGCTTTAGGACCACCTTTTAGTAAACAGGTGAAACTTAACGCTCACAAATATATCTTGAACCCCCTATATTTGATTCTGGCCACAACTTACAGTCACATGAGACATTTAATTAAAACAATATGAATACTTCCACCCAGAACATTAATCAAAACCTATGACAGGAAGGGCACAAGTAAAGAAATTTTTGCAAACTTGCCATTTGCTTCTAATTAGCAACCTAAACTTAGAACCACTTAACTACCCATTACCTCTCAAGCTGTAATGAGCTTACAATTACTCGGTAATTTTGGTCCCACTCTATGTAGTGTGATCCTACAGGTTTGGAAAGAGCCAATAAATGAGTGTTTTCAATAAGTCCCCTGCCAATGCTGACTTGCTCCCCAAGGCTCATTATTAACATTAGTTAAAAAGAAGGCACAGCACAAAGTCTCTTATGCTTTGTACTCTCATCACAACATAAATACTTGCGGCACAAACGAAGACAACCAATCTTTATCATAAAGTATCATAATCTTTGCTGGCTTTTTGAAGTTTACAGGAAAAACAGAAAGGGGCAACGTCTGACTAAGTCTGCATGTATTTATTTATTTATTTATTGAGATAAAATCTTGCTTTGTTACCCAGGATGGAGTGCAGGGGCGAGATCTACGCTTACTTCAACTTCTGCTTTCAAGGTTCAAGTGATTCTTCTGCCTCAGCCTCCCAAGTAGCTGGGACTACAGATTTGTGCCACCATGACTGGCTATTTTGTTTCTTTGTATTTTTAGTAGATATACGGTTTCACCATGTTGGCCACGGTGGTCTCAAACTCTTGACCTCAAATGATCAGCCCACCTCAGCATCCCAAAGCGCTGGGATTACTTGTGTGAACCACCATGCTGGGCCTTAAATCTGTATTTAGAAAACAACATAGACATATGTACTAATAAAATGTTTATTAAGCAGATACTATGTGCTCAAGAAGATTTTACAGAGCACTGTAATAACACATTATGAAACTTACTTCTAATAATACTGATCCTAAGGGCTAAATAATTCCAAATATTTAGAAAAAAAAAACAAGAATATTTCTTCCAATTTCTCTGCCATTGATTTTATTTAAAATGTATAAAATAAATATAAATACAGACAACTGGAAGTCATACAGAAATAAAGAGTTTAATGTAATTTACAAAAATCGATATGGTGTTTATATTTACTTTTTGTGCCTTGTGGAGAAACTACTAGATCTGCAGGAACAGAAAAAAAGTTGCTAAATAGAATGTCTGTGCAAACACTAATTTTAAAGTTAAAAATTTGAAATTAAGACCCTAAAATACATACTTTATATTTCTGATTTATCTAGGTTTTTTTCTTTTATTTTCTTTTTTTCTTTTTTTCAGAAAATTGTGAGCATGAGCTCTAAAAGTAGAACAAGATTCATCATTCAAAACTCTGATCTCTTCTATTCAGTTCCATGAGGTGAGAATCAAAGGTAGGGCCAGATCTAAATAAGACCTCTAAAAAGGGCTGGGGCAGAAAGTGGACCCTATGTACAATCTGGTTCTCTATGCCACTGGGTGAATTTCTAGTTCTGTTTTTCCTAAGCTTACATAGAAAAATCCTAAATTTTAGAGATTGTAAAATTTTAATCTTTTTTAACCACTTTTCCATCAATTTCATATTATATATTAATAAGTAATTAAAACAAATCACTTTAGGTTTCATAGGATAATTTTATTAGAAGATAAATACATATTCTTAAGTTAAAGAAATACAAATAATAGATTTGAGTGTGGTGTCTCACGCTTGTAATCCAGTATTTTGGGAGGTCAAGGCAGGTGTTGCACACCAGCCTGGCCAAAATGGAGAAAATTGGTCTCTACTAAAATACAAAAATTAGCCAAATGTGGTGGCCTATACTTGTAATCCCAGCTACTGAGGAGGCTAAGGCAGGAGAATCATGTGAACTCAGAAAGTGAAGGTTACAGTGAGCTGAGATCAAGCCACTCCACTCTAGCCTGGGCAACAAGGTGAGACTCCATCTTCAAACACCCCAGAAAAGAAACATCAAGCAAACAAACAAAAAAAACAAATAAAACAAATAAATAACAACTCTTCGGTTGATAAATATCCCTTCAGGTGAAAACATCACAAGTCACAACAACATAGAGAAAGTGAGGGTCAGGTGCTCTGGCTCACGTCTGTAATCCCAGAACTTTGGGAGGCTGAGGCAGGCAGATTACCTGAGGTTGGGAGTTTGAGATAAGCCTGACCATGGAGAAACCACATCTCTGCTAACATAAAAATACAAAATTAGCCAGGGATGGTTTGCACATGCCATGGTTTAGGATGCACGTGCCTCTAATTCCAGCTACTCAGGAGGCGGGGGCTGGAGAATCACTAGAACTCGCACGGGGAGGGGGGCAGAGGTTGCAGTAAGTCGAGATCATGCCATTGCATTTCAGCCTGAACCACAAAAAAAAAAACTCTCTCTCAAAATAATTAAAAGTAAAAAGAAAGTGGTCCAAATAAAGCTCAACTGTTTTTTTACACAACTATTTATTGTACTCACCACATAATGAATAATTCAACCTTTTATCCAGTTGCTACTATAGACTAAAAGTTCCTGGATTGTAGGGACCGTGTCTGCTTTACCTATTTTTCTAATGACTGTATGAAATACAAGCAATTGGTTTATGTGTGTGAGTATTCTGATATCCTCACTGCTTTTCACTCAAGTACAAGGAAACTGTAGAAACTCTCATTTGAGCATCAACCAAAAACATCTCTTGTATGAGGTGAAGAACAAACACAGAATGAGTCATTTCTCTTAGACTGAGACAAAGTAGAATTAACCACTCCTGTCAGCCTAATAAAATTCTGCTCTGGAAATTCTCAAAAACTCACAGATGCCTCGGTGATTGTGACAAGGTTCCCAGGGACCCTGTGCTGGTGGCCCAATGATAAGTCAGGCAGGCGAGAGTCAGGCCCTCAGCCTCACCCTCACCCTCTCCTCTTTTCTTATCTTTTCTTTCTTCGATATGGGGTTTTGCCCTGCTGCCCAGGCTAGAGTGCAATGATGCAATATTGGCTAATTGCAACCTCTGCCTCCCAGGTTCAGGCGATTTTCCTGCCTCAGCCTACCAAATAGCAGGCACTACAGGTGCATACCACCAAGTTGA